AAGCATCACGAAGTGACTCATCTGGCTCTTGGCGGAAGTGAGTGATCTACCGCTGGATCTCTGTAGTCTTCGATGCCGGATAGTACCTGTGCACGAATTTGTCAGCCAGATCGTCCCAAGAGGTGATGGACAATGGGGGCTGGGTCTCCAACCACCTCTTAGCATTCCCCGCCAGAGAATGGGGGAAGAGATAAAGGCGGATTGCATCGTCCGGGACACCATTCAGCTTGAACCCGTTCGTCAGCTGCAGAAAACGGGAAAGATGCACCCTGGCCTCCTCATCCTTCAAGCCATGGAACTGGATAGATGATGTGATGAGCTGAATCCAGCATGGCTTGATCTCGAAGTTGTTTGCTGGAATAGGCGGGTAGAGGATGACCGGGCGGATGTCAGCAATCCGAGGAGTGTAGTAGTACTCCAGGGTGGGACCCGGCTGCGGTGGATGATGAACTCCATGATCCTGGGGTATGGGGTTGTTCCTCAGGACCTGATTCACCGGGGGAGCCTGCTGAGGATTCCCCTGGTGCTGATTGTAGTCTCCGTCCATCCCATACTCTTCTTCAGAATCGCTACTCAGGTGGCCGTCTATGCGCTCTTCCGTAGCCAGTCTAGCTCGCTGTTGTCTCCTGAGCTGGCGACAGGTGCGGTAAATCTCTGGATTCAACGGCAGTAAACCTCCTGACTGGCTACGGGTCATGCACTACCTGCACACACTCAAGCAAGCAAACCCGTGAAGGCACAAGTGGGACAAAGCAAACAAAGCAAAAAGAAAAGCTAAATTAACAGAAATCACTTTTCTTCAACAACCTAGCCTTCCCCGGCAACGGCGCCAAAAACTTGACTCACTTCTACTGTCACCCTAGGAATTGGCCAAGTGAAACCACTTCCTAAAGTGTAGTATAGCGGGTTTAGGTTTAATTATCAACCCGGGTCCTAGATTTGATGACTACTCAGTGAATTCTTGTTATCTAGCAATGAAACTTGCATGCAAGTCTAAACTACCAAACAAACAAAGCAAGTAAACAGTTGTATTCAGGTTAAAGAGGTCACCCGGATATGGTTCCCCCTAGACTGCAGTTAAGCCGGATTGTAATTACCAAGTTCAGTTTCTATGACAGTTATACTGCGGAAGGTTCTTAAACAACCTGAAGTCTCGACTAAAGGTCTCCAGACCCTCTCAATCTGAGTCTCTAGCGGGCGACTAACCTCCACCGGAGTAAACAGATTGAGGCCCTAAGAACAAAACCTTCACTACCGGAGTGAATCCGGTACAGAATAGTGAGTTGGCTCCTCGACTAAAGTCACCAACTCCCTACCTTCAATCAAGGATACTCTATTAACCTAGGCAGATATTCTCATTCTAGGTTAAAGCAGAAACAACAGGAATTTGATCAGGATTCAAGTCATTCAATCATTCAAACCTCAATCGAATATAATCAATCATAGAATCAGTACTTGGGTTCATACAATCAAACCTAACATACAAATCTAGGGTTCTCCATACCCAGATGAATGGGAGAACTACTCCATGGAGAAAGAAGCAAAAGCAGAGTCAGACGCGGAATTCATACTGTGAAGGATGGATTCCTGCTCCTGGATGTTGATCGGCACTTCTCCAAGCTCAAACTGGCCTCCAATGGTGTTGAAGATCAAGCTAGAGCACTTGGAGACTCTTGTTCGTCGCTTTCTCTCTCTAGGAATCGTTCTCTCTCTCAAAAACTCGAATCCCCTTCTCTTTGGCTGAAAATCTGCTTAAAAAGGCATCAGTGGCCAAAGCACGGTCGAGGACACGGCCGTGCTTTGCCTGAATTTGCCAAATCAATTAGCTCTCGGCATAAAAAGCACGGCCACCAGTACACGGCCATGTAATGCTTTAGGTCTGCCCGTGTTTTGGCTCCAGCTCACCGAAATGACTTCCGAATGCCCCAAAACTCGTGCTTAGCCTTGGGACCTGAAATATGAAAAAATAGCACAACCCGGCGTAAAATAGACCAAAAGTACACGACTATGCCCCTCAAACGGATAAGAAGTAGGGGTGCAAATATGTGCAATTACATCGTTATCAGCCCCGCAACACATGCAAGACTGTCTCTAGAAGTGGGGAACAATGAGAGCACAACGTCTGTGTTGAAAGGTGGCATCGCCCTCGTTCCTCATTTGTGAGCAATCTTTCATGCGTCGTTAGCCAGAGGAAGTGTTGAATTCCTACTCAGTAACGTGGCTGGTCGCAATCTCATAAGCTAATCTGACCCAGAACCGCCCATCCGCTTCGGGGCCCCATACCGCAATCTTCACCAGCTTCCACCTTGGGCAGTTGGATTCCTTATACCTTCAAAACCAAAGACTTGGTTAAAAATAGCCAAAGCTGATCGAGATCACAGTCTCATTCAGCAGTAGTAAAGTCTGTGAACAGTGCATGTGGATCGTTGGTGTGTTACCCTCAAGAACATGGTCCATCAGTCTTTCACCACTATCCATCCATCGATCCAACCAAAAAGACGTAGTCCTTCCATCATTAATACCCATGCGCATATCCTCTGCCATGATCGGCCGGGCCTTTTGAATGCCCCGCCACACCATCGACCATCTCCTGAAGACTTCGCCTTATGTACGCCGTGGTTGGACTTGAAATACTTAGTCTGCAAAACACGCACCCATAGCTCATCTGGATTTTTAACTAAGGACCAATCTAACTTAGCTAGAAAGGCTAAATTAAGATTGTGAGCCTTCCTGAGACCCAGTCCTCCTTCCTCTTTAGGCTTGTAAACATGGTCCTAGTGTACCAGATGAATCTTATGCTTGTTGTCGGTTGAACCCCAAATGAAGGAGTGAATCAGACTATTACAAATTGAGATCAACAACAACATCGTCTGCATGGCGTAGGTGGGAAGGGAGTTGAGGACTGAAACTGCCAAAGTCACTCTACTTGCAAAACTCAAAGAATTCTCCTTCCATCCAGAAAACTTATTGTCAAAGATATCAATTATATATTTGTAGGTATCTTTATTTACCCTACCATGCAAAATAGGGATACCCAGGTAGCGACCCAAATCATGCATTGTTGTATGCTTAAACTGCGAATAACTACCGCACTGGTCTGCTTTAGGGTATTCTTAGTGAAGAACAAGACAAACTTCTTCTTACTCACCTGCTGACCCGATGCCATACATAACATATCCAAACATTTCAAGATAATCATGCCCTGCTATTCAGATGCCTCTGCAAATAGGATCAAATCATCATTAAAGAATATATGGAATAAAGGGAGCCCACTTGGGAACGCACGGAATGGCTTCCAAGCACCCTGTGTGGCTGCTTGCTCGATCGTGTGGTTTAGAAGTTCCATACACAAGGTGAACATGTACTGTAAGAGCGGGAATCCCTGATGAAACCCTCTAGAAGGGGTGAATGACTCCATCATTTCTCCATTCCAAACCACCTCCATTTTTTCCTAGCTAACACAACACATGATCTCCTAAACCAGACTCCCTGGGAAACCCGCGACCACTAGGGTCTCTTTTAGAAAGTACCAGTCAATCTTGTCGTAGGCCTTAGTTAAGTCGATTTTGACAACGACTAGCCCTTTTGGCCCTATTTTAAACCCATAGAGTGAATCACTTCTTGGAGGAGGATGATATTATCGGTGATGTGACGACCAGGCACAAAGCTGGTTTGAGTTGGGTGCATTAACTGCTTCATGAAGGGTTTAATCCGGTTAAAGAGGCACTTAGTGAAAGTCTCGTAGGCCACTTTGCACAAACCGATCAGTCAAAACTGTGTAATCAGTTCAGGACTCTCTTTGTTTAGGATCAACACAAGGAGGGTTTCATTGACAGTGCCAATCTTGCTCGGATAGCAGGCAATCCGCAACGAACTGAGGAAAAAAGTGGCTATGTTACTCTATCATTTTTGGAAGAAAATAGGCTGGAAGCAATCATTGCCTGGTGCCTTCAGCCACCCATTTCCTTAACTGCTAACCAGACCTCAGCTTGGAGAATGGGTTTTATTAAGAGAGTCCCAAGCCGCTGCCGGTAGTGGAAGGAAGGCCGAGGAAAGCTGTTGGCTGCCAGGTGCATCTGGTGTGAAAAGGCTCACGTAATAACTACGCGCTAAAGCATTCAGCTGCGACTCCTCCTCCACCCAACCCCGTCCAAATCACAAAGCCCCAAAAAATTGTTGAATTTTTGGCACTTTAGAGTTAACAGGTGGAAGAACCACGTATTCTGGTCACCCGGGATGATCTTTGTGGCACGAGACTTTTGAAGCAAAAGAAGGTTCTCCTTCCAGAGCATTTTATCAAGTTCATGTCTGGTAGAGGCCTCTTCTGCAGCAGAGTCTTAGGTTGCAGCTTGTTCGTTTTTAATTTCCAGTAATTTCAGTTTAAGGATGAGGGCGCGCTTGTGCTTCGGAATATGCGCAAAAACTTTAACGTTCCACTTTCTCAAATCAGTCCCTAGTAGGTTGAGTTGGACAGGAGATTTGCAGCCTTACTCCACGCCTCCTGCAATGTAAGGAAGTGGTTAAGTATCATACATGGGCATGAATAAGATCTAGCATAACCTTCTCCCAACAACTCGAGTTATTGGGACCAACTGGTTTATGACATGGTATTAGAGCCTGGTTTGTCCGTGAGGTCACGTGTTCAATTCCTCACGGCCCCCAATATTAACCGTTGTCTTTCAAGCACATGGTATGGCAGTCCTGTGCAAACTTCAAGCACATGAGTCAGCTTTCGTTTGAGGGGGCGTGTAAGGAAGTGGTTAAATACCATACATGGGCTTGTATAAGATCTAGCATAACCTTCTCCCAACAACTCGAGTTATTGGGACCAACTGGTTTATGACATCCAACACCTCCGGGAATCGATCATGGCTCATCCAAGCGGCAAGAAAACAAAAGGGCCTTTCCCCTCGACGTCTGTCCCCGAGGGTTCCCTGGACCAGGATTCGCGATGATCAGAGCCAATCCTTTACAGATGCTTCACAATCGTCTCAAGAAATTTCGTTGACCAAGCTCTATTGCATAGAGCCCGATCATGTCTCTGGTGGAGATTACCCCTGCGCCAAGTGAACCTTGGTCTCGAACAAGTCTCCAGCCAAGAGCCAAGGGAGTTTACATCTGCGTGTCAATATGCGGATCTCATCCCACAAATCACCTCTTGTGGTTGCATCTGGATTACCATAACTCGTCGAGAGAAGCACAGGCGATGAGGTCACACCTCAACATTGGCACTCAAAATGTATCATCTGCTCCCACACACAGAGTTGCTCTACCATTAGGTTCTGATCCTGCCAGGCATCTAAATGACCCCTGGGAAACCCAAACATCAATCATCTGGATCCCATCAAAACCTAAATGGGCGATAACTTGCTTCGCCGTGTTTCAACTGATATGTGACTCGAAAATGTAAACAATATCATGATGGTAAGTCCCACAAAATGAATACAAAAACAGAATAACTCATCATTTCCTACCCCTTGGCAGTTCCGCGATAAAATGTCTAACATTACTAAAAAAATGGAAGGGGAGAGACACTTCTTGAACTAGCCGGCAAGTGGGGTATTACTCAGAAGTAGGAGGTGGAGTTGACAACTCCCCCTGGATGTCCGACTGCAGCTAGGAAGGCCGTGACGAACGCTAGGTGATAAGTGGTGCGATCCCCCACCCAGTGACTACGGCGGCTGCCTAGTGTCCCCCATGTTCAAACTGTCTGTCAGAGGTAGATCCCCGGTGGCCACAGGCTGATTTTGCAGGGGCTTAGGCTCCATATTGAATGGTTGGCCAAGTGGTGTCCTCGAGATATCCATCAAAACCTCCAAAGAAGTAGCATGGGTGACTTGAACATCGACCAAACCATCACTGGGAACCTCCGCCATTTCTGGCTTCCCTGATGTCTTAGCGACGGTCGTAGCAGCAGTTGGTTGAGCTTGCGATGCATTGAACACATGGGTGGGTGACACATGATTGGCTCGAGTAGGAGCAGGCATGGCTGGGGACGGCCTCAAGGTCGTCTTCTCCCCTAACGGGGTTGTGTCCGTTGCTTGGATTGGGATCTCCATCACCACAACTTCCTCCTCCTCCTCCTCCTCCAACACTTGGAACCGCGAACCCGAGGATCCAGACCCTTTTGTTGGTTGATTTCGGTAATCCCCATTCGCAGGCTACTTTCTTTTAGGCTTGGGTTCTACTACAATCCACTTCCCATACACTTGGTCTTTGGCATGGTCACTCGTCGTTGCTTGAGCACTCGTTGTGGACACTAGAGGTGGTTATGGAACACGAACAAGGAGGGGGCAAGAAGCTTTCGCATGACCATATTTCCCACACTCCATGCATATTTTGAATAGACCCTCATACTCAATATAGTATGTCACGCCTTCGATACGATACTGAGACATGAGGGGCTTCACCAAATCAATCTCCACGCAAACGCGGGCATATTGCGTCCGTTCGCATGTTAGCATGGCATGATCTGCACGGATTGATTTGCCAATCCTTTAGGCAGTTCGCTCTTCCGCTTCCTTGTCAAAGAAATCTAGTGGCAAAAATGGTAGTCGTACCTATAGGCGTCAATCGGGCGGGTTCGGCCTGGGATCAATCGGTTTGCGGGTTAGTCGGGTTTTGGATTCATCGGGTTTGGGTTCAAATGAGTTATGGGTTAGTCGGGTTGTGGGTTTATGGGGTTCAGGTTCAATTGGGTTGCGAGCAAACCGGGGTGCGGGTTCATCGGGTTTTGGGTCGGGCGGGTTGCGAGCGGATCGAGTTGTGGGTTGTTCAGGTAAGCGCATCGAGTAACTTACTCCTTACTCGTTACCAACTTGCACATTTAATTACACTAATTCAAAATATTTTTCTCAATTTTTAACCAATTTCTTTCTATCTCGCATATATACTTAATGTAAAAGAAAAACTAGTCAAAATGTTGAATCAATTTATTTGACTTGCAAACTTATTATGTAATTAATCGTAATTGGTAAAGTACACTAGCTAATAGTAATGATGATATCAACATTTGCAACCAAAAGACACCATTAATGGTTTACTTGGTATTTTAGTATTATTTCAGTAGTAATTGGATTAAAGTATCTCGTTTAGTATAACCATGCAAATCTGGTATTTGGCGTGTGGTATTTGGCAAAAACAAAGTGGTAAAGGAGTTATTTCGAAATAACTCATTGCCCAAATAACTTCAGTAAATTGTTGCCAAACGACTTATTTGTAAAATTGTTTGAATTACCCTAAAAATTGAACCATTAAAGATTAACTATCAAATTTAGTAAAATTCTTGTGACTTCAATCATAACTCTTACTCAATAACATATATCCTATACACTTAACCTTACCCTCAATCGACAATAGTAAGTTAGTATATGTTATTGATCATATACCCTAAACCATCAATACATTATGCACTAACCACATACCCTATACCTAAACATATATCCTTATGAGTTGTGATTTTGCTAATATAGTTATTTAAAGTGAAATTCATACTTTGATTTCCAAAACATAGACAAAAAAGTGATATTTGCTATACCCTAACCATATATCCTATACTCTACACCATATACCCTATACCCTAACTATGTGCAATAAATGTAGAAGCATAGAAAACAAATAGACAAATTTAGTGAATTTTTCTAAAATAAATGATTGTTGTAACTAATAGTTAATTTAGCTATTAGAGCATAAACAATTATATATATTAACCTTCAAAGCATATAAGAATAAATTTAATTAGTCATTCCCTCCGTATAAAAATTAAAGATTCATATTTCAAAGGATAAATTTTGAAAAACCAAATAGTTGAAACTACCAAATTTGTTTCCTTCTTTCTTTTCACCAAAAAATAATATTAAGATACTAAAATTCTCCTCTTTCTTTCTCCTTCCGTAAATTAGAAACACTCAATTTTCCCTCCTCATTCTCTTCCATAAAATTGAAGAACCAAATTCCTTTTCATTCCTTCCTTCCACAAAAGTTGAAAACTAAAAAATTTCACCTTATTTCTCTTTCATAATCAAAAGAACAAAACTTTCCCACTTATTTCTCTTCTCACAAATCAAAACCACCAAAATGCTCACTTATTTCTTTTATAAAAAAATCAAATAATCAATTTTTCTTCTTCTTTCTATTTTCAAAAAGTTGAATACACTAAAATTTCCCTCTTATTTTAAAGTATTAAATTACCAAATACATGACTTCACTTTATTTATATTTAATTGATAACTTTATTGAATAGTTAAATTCATCAAAATTTTAATTTATATATTATGTTAATATTGTCCATGACCTCAATTATTAATTCTTCATTATTGATATTGTACTAATTTTATATTTCATATTTACTTTATTTATTTTTTTTAAAACTTATTGTTCAAGTAACTTTCATGTTTCAATTTTTGTATTTTTTAAAATGCATAATATCAAGTGAGTTTCATATTTTTTTAGATTCCATATACGAAATGAAAAAATTACTTTACCTAAGTTTAAAATAGAAAACTTTATCTTGAAAAACTATGTATTATACAATATAATAATTATTTAAGTGGATTAAGTGAAGTTCGGGTTGAGTCGGTCGGGTTACGGGTTATTCGGGTTACAGGTTAGTCGGGTTCGGGGTTAATTGAGTTGTGAGTTTAATCGGGTTATGGGTCAATCGGGTTAGGGTTAATCAGGTTTCAGGTAAGTCGGGTTGCGAGTCAATCGGGTTGTAGGTCGGACGGGTTACGAGTTGTTGACTTTTAGTCTATTCGGATCGCCGTCGGATTGCGGGTGAGGTTGATCCGGCGGGTTAGTCGTTCAAGTTCTATTTTAACATCTATAGTAGCGCCCATGCTATGGTGGTAGCAATCTCAGCAAACTTCGGGTTGAAACCCTTGCGCCAGGGCCTCTTTGTGAGATAATGCCCTCCAAAGTCCAATCATCCAGGAACCACCCGCAAGAGCCTGCTCATGGTCATACGGACTCATAAAGCATACCACGTAAAAGCTAAACGATTGAGTGGAGATTTGGAGACCTCCATGCTTACCCCATCGTCTCTAGTCTTTTGGCTAGGACCGAGAAAGGAAAGGTACGGCTTAGGACCTTCATGATCAATGCTAGCGCCACTTTCTTCTGTAACGTTATTTTTCCAACGCCGTGAAAGTGATCGTTGTACAGGTCAGACTATCATCCTCGGGAACCTCATCATCATGTTCTGCATTCCGCATTGCTTCGGCAATGTTGTCCGAGTCGGATTCTGCCACATACCAGGTATCCTGCGAAATCATCTCGCTGAATGATTTCTTGGTTGTCCATGCAGTCGACGGCGGTGATTTGCCGTTATCCGCTGAGGTCGGGTTTTTCGAGTTTTCTTCCTCCATCATCTCGTCCGAACCAAACAGCGACCCAATGAATGACACCTAGCTCTCTTTTGAGCTGCTGCTTCTCCTTTTATGCTCGGTTGTTTGGGGATGATGTTGTTGATAGGGGTCGCCGGGACCCCACGGTCTGATCAGGGGATCGATTGGCAGAGGGATGAGCCCCCAGGTTTGGGGCGGGAATGCAACAAAAGACGACGATGAATCCCTAGTGCTCCGAGAAATACAAAGCTCTCTCAATGTATCCGCCTAATGTATTAAGGCTGCAAGTCTGCTACCTTTTTAATTGATGCATGATTTACAATAGTGAGCTATATATTATAGTGTAATTACTCACTAAGTTAGTTTCCCTATTGCAATTCCTTTCATTTTATGATACAATAGTGTCTACGTGAACCCACGAGCTAACTATTGTAGTACTCGTATAGCTCATATTTTTATCGATTGTGTTCCATCTCAAGTATATATGTTTTTATACTTTTATGGAGGACTATTTTCTGAGCAATATATTATTCTTGGAGAGGAAATAGAAGAAGGAAGTCATCGATTGTCAAAATAGTTAGGATAATACAATGACTCACACTATACTAAGTGAGTCGGTTTATAATGAATTTGGCTATATATCAATAGATAGTTTAACTTACTATACCTTTATTATCCTCTATTTTTTAACCCTTCCTTTGATTATTCATATAGCACACGTTCTCTTCAATTCAAATAATAATTACAACTATTCACACCCCTACCTAAATGATGAAGTGAACCATATCAATATGAAGTATAAATAAATCGCTCCCAAAAGAAAATGAAGGAAATTGTTTTTCATTGCTGAAATACATACAATACCTCAGTCCTGTTCGTGAGCTCGTCTTATTGCATTTTAAGCCGATTCTACACTAGGTTGTGCCTGTGTGTGATATTTCAGGTCTTAGGATGTGAATAAGTGGTTAAGAGTAAGTTTCGGGAGAATTGGAGAAATGACAGAACTTGGAGGATGAAGAGCTGAGTTACACGGTCTTCTAGTATGTTCCACGATCGTGGTTCCTCCGTTACAACTGTGGAACACAAATAGAGAGTTACTTGGTCTGACAGTCACAATTCAAACGACTGTGGAATATCAGGAGTGACTGTGGAATTCACTTTGTGCAACTCAAGTGACCCGGTGCCTTTTGGTGTTACACGATCTGGAAATCATGTTCCACGACCAAGGAACATGACCAGGAAATGACCATCTTTGTGTAAAAATTGGATTTTTGGGCTTTCTACTAGGGATTCGATTTCTTTTATATAAAATGATCTTGTGTTTCTTGGTTGACTTAAGCTTAGGAGTCATACTCAAATATTCAAAGAGTTATCATCCCAAAACATAAAAAAGGGGGCACACCAGTATATTAACAAAGCACAATGCACCAAATTTCAACTAGGGGTGGCTATACTGTACGAACAAATAAAACTGGCCCGGATTGATCCGGTCTTTTGTGAAATGTGGGGACCAAAGACGAGATTAGGTACAGTCCAGTTTTGGCCCGTTCCTACTCCATCCAGTGCCAGTCCCAGTCCGGTTTTGACCAAAAATCCGGCACAGTTCCCCTCCTCCTAAACGACCTTGTTTTAGTTTTCTTACCATTCTCACTTT